TATTCTTAAGTAAAGAGGGATTGACTGATACTTCTTGTGCTGCTATTGGATGCTAGCTGAGCTTCCTAGCGATGATGATGGCGCTGCTGGCTTTTGTTTGATGTTTGGGAATCTTCCAACTCGTATCACTTTCCATGAAATTCTCCAAGCATCCAATGGATTTTTAGCAATGTGGTGGAGCTTTGCTAGGCCATATGAGGCAGCTCTCATCACAAGTGCTGACATGCGCCCATTTGTCTGAGGCACCTGTTTGGATGCCTGACTACCTTATGGTCATACCATCATTCTGTAGGGTGTAGTTGCAGTTAGGATTTAAGCATAAAATAAATCCGACCACTGAAATTTTTTAGTGCTCCTGTAATGATCCAAAGTTTCAAGCAGTTGAATGCCGTGTTAAGTATTCGGGCTAACTAACATTGAGTAAACATCGGTTAGCAAACATTGTTCCATTCCTTTCCTCTTTCGACCCTCGAAGCAGATAGTTAGTGGACGAAAGATCATAATCTACCTGAAAATAGATGATGAGAATGGTCATCTTGAAGGCAATCGACTTATAGAAGGCCACGTCTTCTTGTTCATTCGTCTTGAAGTGGTAACTATTCATCAGCCAGACACCACTGACTCATCGCTCTCCTGCTGATATCTTTGGAACTACCCAGAAATCATACACTCTCACCCCTTCTCCTAATATTCATTAAATAATACTTTAAAACTCATTGACAACAACGCAATCTCCTAGGTCATGGGCAATTAAATCGTCTTACCATTAAATGTTAATTGATGGGGCTTGAACATCGTGTTAGTCTGTTAGACTCTAGGAAAGTGGGTCTCAGCGAGCACGGTGTGAGAGACAAAGAGGTCTTTTGCGCACAGTACTTCTATCCCAGTGAAAATTTCTGGCCTCCAATTACCAGACAGCAAGACCTCCCGAGGCTAATAGAATCGTTGGCGCAAGAAAAGAAACATCGCGATACATCAGCCACGCCGTCCTCCTTATAACACAGGTTCCACCTACTTGCACTGTTGACTTCGTACTCATAATTGGTTGGCGTCATGGCTGCAGGCGGTGATTTTCAGACGACATCGCAAAGATTTTTGTCGTGGTTCAAGTCTTTGCCGGGCGCCACTTTCCATGATGACATTCAGATCGTTGACCTGAGAGGCCAAAACGCCGGGCGAGGAATCAGTAGGTCATTTTGCCTTCTTCTCGTCACGCTGTTGACTAACAAACTCCCAGTGGCCACAAAGGACATCGCACCTGAGACGGTCCTCTTCACCATCCCGAGAAAAAGCATCATCAATGTCGAGACGTCTGAGCTTCCCAAGAAGATTCCTCAAGTCTTTACCGGCAACGATGGAGACGACGAGGATATGGAGAATGAGCCCCTCGACTCGTGGGGTTCTCTTATCCTCGTCATGATCTATGAGTACCTCCAGGGCGATGCTTCACCCTGGAAGCCTTATTTTGAGGTCCTTCCCGAAAAGTTTGACACACTCATGTTCTGGGAGACTTCTGAGCTCGAATATCTCAAAGGAAGCGCTAGTTTGTCAAAGATTGGAAAGGAGGAAGCCGATGATATGTTCCGTTCGCGTATCCTGTCGGTCATCGCAGCCAACCCAGCCGTCTTCTACCCTGCAGGTGCCTCTGAAATGGCCGAAGCAGAGCTTCTGCAATTGGCTCACCGCATGGGCAGCATCATCATGGCTTATGCCTTTGACTTGGAGAACGAAGAGGAGCCGGAAGAAGAGGAAGAGGAATGGGTTGAGGACCGCGAGGGCAAGTCAATGCTGGGTATGGTACCCATGGCTGATATTTTGAACGCTGATGCAGAGTTCAACGTGAGTAGTTCTCTTCTTTCGTCCTTCTGACATTTTACCAACGCTAATGTCTTGGCAGGCTCATGTCAATCACGGTGATGATGACCTCAGCGTCACCGCTCTGCGAACAATTCGTGCAGGAGAGGAGATTCTGAACTATTACGGGCCTCACCCGAATTCTGAGTTGCTCAGAAGATACGGCTATGTCACTCCCAAGCATTCTCGTTACGATGTGGTTGAGATTCCGTGGGACCTGGTCCAGTCTGTGCTCAATGAACAGTTGAAGCTCACTGACGAGGTCTGGAAGCAAGTGGTACGTGTGGAAAATGTTCAATCAGAGGAAAAGATGAATCAAACTAACGGGAGTGCAGGGAGAATACATAGATCCTGAAGACCTCGAGGATGTATTTGTCCTCGAGCGTGAGTCAGGAGAGCCAGACTCGGAGGGGCGACTCACAACACCCGCCAAGGTCCAAGAGGTTTCTGCTGAGCTTGAGGAGCAGCTGAAGGGTATCCTGAAGCTTCTCAAGAAGATGAATGCTGATCTTATTCCCGACAAGCGGAAACGCGATGAGATTTACCAGCACGTTGTTGTGTCCACCCTGCAAAAGCTTCTGGCGCAGTACCCGACGACAGCTGAGCAAGATGAGGCTTTGCTGGCATCGGGCAGCTTGACAACTCGACAGAGAATGGCTGTTGAGGTAAGACTCGGCGAGAAGCGCCTTCTGAAGGAGGCCCTTCAAGTGGTGGGTACCAGCGGTTCTGTGGAGGAAGCTGCTGGCGAGGAAGAGGCGGACAGAGCTTCCAAGAGGGTGCGGCATTAGTCTCTTTCCGCACGCACAGAACGAGTAGAGGAACGAAGCCAGGCGGGAAAGTATGTAGTTGCCTTGTACTCAACCGGCCGGGAGTTGCCTGGCTGGGAAATGTCAAATTCAACGTCACACAAACATTCCAACTTACACCGCTTGATGGTGTGTGCCTCCGGAAACGCAAGTTGTTGTCTCCTTTCCCTCTATTATTTATTGGCAGTGCATTTCTCTCGACTCTGTGCCGCAATCGAAAGCCCATTTCGTCGGATATATCGGAAATCCTGGCCGTACCAAGCCACTGGCCATGTCGCCGTACCGGTAGTCAGAGACATGCCCACCAACTGCGGCCCTCCCAACATGGCGTTGGTCCGCCATAATTTGCTGTTGGCCAGCGAAACCAGTTGGCGTCACTCCAAATAAACCCCCGCACTTGAGCTGACCGGTTCTTAGCTTAGAGGGGGATGTTTCCACCCGATAGGCCCTTCTGGACGCCCGATATCGTCCGATTACAGTCGATGACGAAGGACTACGGATGGACGGGACACTCCAAGCCAGCCTGCCACACACCGGTTCATGAATACATGAGTCTTTGATAGGATCTTGGAACAAATATCGATGGCGCTTGCTCCAGAAAGGCCTATGAATCTTGAAGGACGAGGCCTTGAAGGCTTTGTGCCACCTCTTTCTCTCAGCGAAGTGCTACGAGGAGGATTCTCACCGAGATCACACAGACATGCCCATCCAATGTTGTTCCAATATCTCGTCCCGGATGAGTTCAAAAACCACGATGTCAGAGAGACGTTTGATCTCATCAAATACCAGGAGGACATAAAACAAGTCATTTCGCACTCTATAGACAGTGGCGTCGAGCATGATTCTGATTTCGCTTCTCAAGTTCTCCTATGCTAGTCCACGAGATAGACGAAACCAACTGGCGTTTGGTGCGATTCAAAGGTCGTATGCACTGCTTGGTACCCAATCTTTCCTGCGGCCGCTACACGCTCCCCACCGCGCGTCAACCTTGCCTACTTCGCGTCTTCGGCAATGTCCCAGAGATGCCACGTCGAGCCTTCACAACAAATGGAATGTTTAACCGATCACGCTTTTCAAGGTTTCATTCGGTGCAATAGGCAGCCGGTGGTTGTTGGGCATCATGATCTGAGGGACATTTGGACGAATAACGCTGCACTCTATTGCAGTGATGGCGGAATCTGGCCCCTCGACTGTGGCCAGGTCATAGCCAGGGAAGGAGGTGTTATGTTTCCTTCGACTAGGGATCCATGACCGAAGAAGAATCAGCTCGTCGATACGGCTGTCGAGTCGACAGCCACAATCCTTCACGGATCCCACCTCGATTCAGTTTCTGTCCGAACCTCTCCAGCGTCGACGACCGAGCCCGAGCTCCCGAAGCTGGGCCAAAGAAGTAAAATCGTCGACAACCTCATTGGCTCCAGATTCGTTCATCCCAATCGCACACATGGACCTGATTGGTTTAGCGTCATGCAAGTCATACCAACATCCACCTCATGGGTGACAACCTTACACGCTTGATCTAGTGTCGATGCCTGCACTCCTGCAATCACGTTCGACGATGTTAACGCCCACACTTGGAGTTGCAGGAGGACTTGAGCATCTTGGACCTGGATTTCAACCCAACAGCAAGCAGGCCATTGTATTACTCCAGGACAGACGTGCCCCAATGAGCAACTGGCGGCACAAGAGTCAGCCAAGTTCTATTCGTTGGGTTGTGACGGTTCAAAGGCAACCACAGCCGAGGAAACAGCGAAACCCGCATTCTCGAGAATCCCATGCCTTCTCATCTTGAAATCGCATACCTGTGTCTCTGCAGTGCGCCATGCAGTCATTCTTCACCGGCGCAACGTGGCCGAGTGCAGACCAAACGACATGTGACCACGGGACCTACGCCTCCGTCGCGATCAGGAAATTTGAGGTCGATCAGAACACTGCGTTTCTGTCTCACGCGTGTCCATTGTCGTCAACAAGGCGTCAGAAACTTTGGATTGGGCACTTGTGATCGTCAAAACCAGGTTGTCCCAATCGAAGCCTGGACTTGTAGCATGCTCGGCGCTGCAAGTAAGGATATGGGTTGCATCCTTGACGCATCGCAAGTTGAAGAATATCAGACCACCTTTTCGGGCATGGTCGACGACGTCGTCAGGCCCCAAGGTGCAATAGTCGCTTAATACCCGGGAATCCATCATCTCTGTCATTTCTGACGAGATCACTGAAATCTCACTTGACAGTAGCGACTGTCATCCAGCTAGAATAGCAGCAAACATCGTGGGCTTGGTATCCAGCCTCTAGCGCTAGCACTCCGAGCCACTGCCTGCTGAAACTTTGTGGAAACAAGAAATGCATTCTCAGTCGAGTGTAAGTGCCCACCTCCTGCCTACCTCGGACTAATACGATGACTGACAGAGATAGCGGAGTGGAAGCCGTAAGCACGGGAGGCGAAGTGACAAGAAGGACAAAGATCACAAGCCAAGACAATCCAGTGGGAGACAGGAGGCCGTCCCTGACATCTACTTCAGTTTTCTCTTTGTAGTGAACGAACTCAATATTCTTGATGGATACAACCTTGGCGATTCCTGCGGCAACACTCGCCCACCTGACTCCGCCGATGGCTATGGTGAGGAGAGAGCGGGCATTGTTTGGCGGTATACGGACGGGGTCATCGCTCCGGCTGGAAATGAATTCTTCTGGAACCGTGAGGCAATGGGACGTCCTGGGGCAATTTGTTCTCAGCTACTTGGAGCGGAAGAGCCGACTGCCCTGCAGGAATACAAGACTTATAGCGTCTTCAACTGTTGGCGGTTCCTTCCTTGCTTGGTTACCAACGTTGATATATCAGCTGTGGACGAGCCCTATCCAGGTGGGTTTCACAGCATCGCCTTTGAAAAGCCAGACCAAACAGCCCCAGGTGTTACTCGGATCGTCTCTCCCGGCGGCCCCCAAAGACATGTATCTGGAACCCAGCCGTCTTGGATACCCCATCTCCTGCCACACACATTCGCCACGCCGGATTCTTCAGCTCCCCGATCCATAGGTTTGGGCGGTGATTTGCCTATCATCCTCGCCCTCTTGGCTCTGATGAAAAGGCCGGGAGACACAGAGCGAGTTTTCTGGGATGGGCTCTGGAATAGGAACGGATTTCATGAGCGGCGATCTTCTCGTGCTGGTCAGTAAATTGCTTCTTCTCGGAACGCCGTATTACACACGTCAAAGTATATGCTGACTATAATAGACCCTGATCCCACTGGTTCTCCGAGAGGTGTAATGGTGCAGATCTGTTGTGATTCCTGCAATGACAACTCGACTACGGAGATGATTGAAGGGTTCGAGGCCAGATGCTGCGTCATCTTCGGCTGAGCTCCCCCTTTCTCATTCATGCCGTTTCACAACGTCTCATCGTGTCTTCTGTTTTTGGCCCGGCGTTGTCTCGACAGCACATATACCCAATTCAACCAGCAGTAACGAATTCCCAACTATCAAGTATAGTGCTCTCAGCGTCAAGGAAATCTTGTGATGCTCAGGTTCAATGAATGGCATCGGAAATGAGAGATGATGCTCTTTCAGGGGCAGGCACATGCGGGACATGTTTCCTAAGGCGCACGCATCTTTGAAATATTGAACTTTACGTCATCATTGAAAGCTTTCTCCTTCTTGTCCTAGTGAACGCGGGTTATCTACTTGACCCAGTAGGTACTCATCCAACGGCTCTTGAGAGCCACGAAGCGTTGACGCATCTACCCCGCCCCCAACGGATGTGTCTATGGCCCATGCCCACCAGCCAACATGTGTTTTGTGTAACCTCAATTCACTTTTTCGCTCAATAAAATAGTAATGCATCGATGGAAAATGTACTCCCTTCGAGCTCGTATTGCGTTACAACTAAGCCGATACCCGCTCGCCTCATACTGCGTCAGGCAACCTCACAGCTATGTCTCCTGACTGGGTGATGTATCTGACCCAAGGCAACGAGGGATATTGCAGCTGTGACAAGTTAGCAAATGACAACCACTGGAACTCCTCGAAGGAGAAAGACTTACCTTTGGCTCTGTAATCTTGAGGTACCGCACTTGGATACCACTCGTTGTGAAATAGGGGATCTCAAACTTGACCTGGATCGGCCTCTTGGCTCCCTTGCCAGGCGCACCAACACCACCCATACTACCGCCGAAACCACCAGTCATACCACCACCGTGCTCGTCATCGCCTCGTACCGAAGGCAGTCCCAACTCTGCTCTCATCAAGAACTCCTTGTTGCCTCCAAACTGCTTGATCTTCCACACGATGGCGCTCTGTTCAGGGGCGTAGTGGACGGCGCCAATGTTGGTGCGGAAGCGAGGAGTGTCGGCATCATCGGGGACTGGAACGATAATCTCAACGTTGTTGGCCGTACTCCTCCTCTTGAATTGCGATCTGGCCTTGAGCATGTACTCGACTCGCGACCCGCTATGGCTCTCGACAACACATTCGACCCAAATCAGGGGTTTGACCTGGGTGTTGAGGCGGTAGCTCATGAGCTCGAACTCTCCGTCCGGGGGGATGAAGGAAATGGTCCTATCGTTCTCGAAGCGTGACAGCCGCACACACTGGTGGAATTTGACGTCCTCCATCTCAATAGCCTTGCCGCGTGTCGTTCGGCCTGTTGTCTCGAACATGACCTTGTCGTTCAGGCCCAGGCGGAGCTCAGGCATACCGCTGAGATAGCACTTCATCTTGATGGCGCCCAGGATCTCACTGCGCAGGACGTTGCCGTTGGCGCTAACGAGAAGGTTGAGACTCTCGACGACGTCGAGGAAGACCTCGTTCTTGCGGTAGCGAATACCCTCGGAACGCCATGAGACAGCGTTTGTGACGGCGATGGGCGGGCGGGCCTGGATCTCGAGCTTGTGGGATTCTTGGGTGATGTACTCCTGGAGGATCTTGGACTCGGTAGTCTGGGGGTAGCCAAAGTCCATCATCTCGTCGAGAAGCTCGTAGATGATGACAAAGTTGTCGCGGATGGACTCTTCCTCAAGGGCCTTGAAGTACTCGGTGAAGACTTCGACAATCTTGTGAAGGAATAGGAGGATCTCGGCAGCGTTGGTGTTTCGTTTCGTCAGGGCAAGGAGGTATAGGTTGTTGTGTCGGATGTAAAGGTACTGGAATTCGCGTCTCGTCAGTCAAGATGCCACTTGCGACGCTGGAGCGCAGATAGCTACAATTCGGCACGTACGTTGATACCCTCGTGCGAGAAGCATGGTGGGACAGCTGATGATTCTTCTTCTGCTTCGCTGAGAAGGACGGGGAACTTCTCGACAGCTGACATGGGAATGTCACCGCGGTAGTTTCGGGCAAGAAGGGTCTATTGCAAGCCAGTATCAGCATTTTTGAACGTCTCAGATATCAGGTCAGTTTCGTAGTGCGCACCTTGCCCTTCAAGTCGAGGAAGAACACGGCGGAAGCCATGATGAAGTGGTTGCCAAGGCGGGGGATCGAGGGGCAGGCGCAGAGGCGGTGGGAGTCAATTGGCACGCTGGCCAGAGGAATTATGGCAGTGAGGAGGATGTTTTCATGCAGTTGGTACAGAAGGGCAGCTCGTGATGGTATTAAATGATCAAATGGTGGAGGTGGACGCTGTCATTATTCGCGGGTCGTGCAGTTGATGAACCGCGCGTTGACAGATAGCTGGCGATATTGAAACCACGATGTCTCCTTGGAGTCGGAAGGGCACGGACCAGCACAATGACAGCCTTACCTCTTGGGAAAGCAAGCTGTCGTGCAGCCACATATGGCTGGGGGTCAGACTGTGGCTGTTGCCGCTTGTCTTATGTAAGTAACATCCCAAGGGCAAAAGTAGGTTTACGTAAGGTAAGTTTTCAGAGGTAAGTCACATGACCTGCAGCTCTCAGAGTGGGTCTGTGGTTTGCTTACATCGGGCCAAAATTTTCACGATGTTTCTTCCTTTCCTTCTTTTCCTCACTACCGCGTCCTTTTAGACAGTGCAGCGCATTATTACAACCACATTTGGACTGGCATTCTGCTGGGCTCATTCGTGTCGTCGTTGATGTGAATTGCGATTTCGTGACGCGCAGAGGAAACCTTCCGGTTCCATAAGAGCTGCCCATGCATTTCTCTTCGCTTTCGAGTGAAGAGAACAGTTGCCAGGGCGGCGTCAGAGGTGCCATACATACTATCAAAATGATGTCTTATTTCTGTTGTGATTTACGAGACGAAACGGTTGCTACATTTACCGACTGCTGGACTGCAGTTACTTCGGGTAAATCTTAGCAGGAGATCTTGATCAAGACAAGATCTCGGTAGACGCACTTGACGAGTAAGCTTCCATGCATGGAACACATCTTGTGTTCCTGACAGAAGCAATCGCCGAGGCTCCTGCTTCGAAGCTCAACAAGTCTTGACAGGTGCTCGTACGCTTGTTTGAAGCTAAGGGTCCTCTTTAAGCTGGGAAGCCTCATGCCATGTCCTCCTGACAGCCTCTACGACAAGGAAAAGGTTGCAATGCACGACCGGCTCGCCGGTTGTCAGATCTAGAGAGACACCAGTCAAAAAACACAAACGCCTCCCGAACCAAGATGGTTAATGTCTCTCGGCTTTCGGGGGGTTATAAGAAGCCTACTACGTACTGCCGGGGAAGTGCCAAAAGGTACGAGAAAGGCTTGAATAGTCTTCGACGATGTCAGCTGGCTCTTGCGTGCTCTGAGCTCGTGCAGCGTGCGCCGAGGGCCGTGGAAACGCCGCTGATCCACCAGCTCGGGTCTGAGATGCCATCACATGGCCACCATTTGTGGGAGATAACTAGTCAGGACGGGCGGGTAGCAGATAGAACTGAGTCGTGCGATGCAAGGCGAGCAGGCAAGTAAGCCGGCGGGCAGCAGCTGGGAACTTGAAAGAAGAGCTTGGAAGTTGTGGGTTTTCCATTGTGGGAATCAGCGCAGCTCGGCACCTCGATGTCGATGGTGAATACTGATAAGGCCTGGTGGGTTAAGGTGAGAGAGGTTGCATTGGTGCTTCAAGTGCGTGATTGGGCGTCGGTTTCGCAAGATTCGTGTAAATTGGATCTTGCAATCCAATCAGCCAATACAGGTTACCGGCTGTTACTCTTGCAAAGCAAATCGGAAAGACCACAACGGCTACACACCTGACGTGTGGTGGTGTACCTTGATTTGCATGTGGTGTTGGTGTACTACGTACAGACGGCAACGGCAGAATCTCGGATGACGGAGTGGTAGAAGAAAAAAACGAAGAAGGGCATGGTAGATCCATGAAGAAGGCGTCACAGAGAAGAACGTCAGCGGGAACAACTGGACCCTTGGGCGGATCTCGAGAAAATTACCATGGTCATCCGGCAACCTATTCTGCAAAGTCCCACCAATTCCCCTCCAAGAATCAAGAGTCAGCAGAGTGGCAGCAAATCGCACGTGAATATGGGCCTTGAACGGCAGCTGTGGGATGATTGCCTGAGCTACCTTACGGATACGGTATCGCGAATTTGTGAGGCCCGGGTTGAGAAAGCTTTCTGGGGCAGGCAAAACTGGCAGACACACAGTGAAAGGCAAGAACCAAACTAAACTTGCGAGGCTCAAGGTAGGTAGGGCGGAAGCTGCAAGTTGCGGATGCCTTTTTGGAGAGACAGGTGACCAGAAACGCGTCTCAAGTGCGGGCTGGGAATCCCTAACTTGCGGAAGGCTCCTGAGCCGTGGGTTCTTCCCCTCTGTGTGTGCCCCGTATGTCTCTTTCCAGTTTTTTTCTTCTCCTTCGTTTTCACATGGAAAGGGTGAGTCCGTGCCCCAGGGTGACGTAGCAGTAAGAAAGCGACAGTCCAATCAAACAGCGAGGAAGCCTCGTTTGTGCCTGGGGCCGAATGCCGGCTGGGCGACCCGGCCACCGCCCGTTGTCAGTTGATGCCTTGTGACATAGACATCCGGGAGTCCAACCTGGTAGCATCAAGGTGAGAAACACGGCAGAAAGCTTAACACAACCCACTTCTGCACATGCTAAGTTACTTGTTCATCCCGTCCAACCCGGCCAGATGCATGTGATGACGGCCCCAACAACTCTGACACGTGCTTCCCCAACTTTGGCCCTGATCTCCTGTTCCCCCCCTCGAGTCTTTCCCAGGCTTGCCCCCTGTTGTGTGTCCCAGATCACAGGCTAAAGGTAGGGTCTCTTACTGGCGAAGGCACCCGGTGCACCACAGTACGAATCCCTATAAGTCACAACCAGGAAGAGGCCATCAGCTGTTGGCTGGAAGAATAGCTTGCAGGATTCGTTGTTGGACGATCAGCGAAACGGTCATCCTCACTTTTGTTACAAGCGGTCTGGGCGCAAACTGACAACTAAAAGTCCAAGGTCTCAGCCTAGTAGTCTTCACATTCCGGTCATTGCAGTCAAAACCTGATGGTGGCTCAAGAAAAAAAAAGAAAAAAAAAAGAAAGAAAGACAATATTCCATGCGACAACGAGGTCAGTTGGTCTTGGTCGGCAAACCCAAAATGCGGTCTGCACTATGCAGACGTCAGGCCAGCCAGCGGCGCATCGTCAGACAAGAGCGAACCCGACAGCACACCCTTACAACCTATGTAGACACCAATTGGTGTATGGCTATATTCACACTGTACCCCTACCCCAACGGTAGCTGTGGCAATGGCACTCTCTGAATCCCGTTTCTGTCACGGCATTCCTGCAGACTCAGAGTCTGGCCTTGAATCTGCTAAGGTTCGTGTCTGTTTCTGTAACCGACTCCCACCCATCATCGTCGGCTATTTTTCTTGCTGCTGGCCCGGGCAAAGCATATGGTCAACGGATACTGGATAGTGATACGGATATCCAGCACGAATACCACCTCAGTTCTTCTACATGGGTACGGGGTACAAATCCATACGATGAGCTAGCTACCTTGCGCGAGACTGCGAGTATCTACTCCGTACCTAGGATACACTATTGAGTCGCGGCTTGTCTGCTTAGTTCCCAACTGCCTTCCATTGGTCTCCAGAGTACTGACAGATGTCAGCAGCAAGGTACTCCGTAGCGTTGGCCCGTATCTCTGTCTCGAGTTTAGCGGCTGCCAGTGCGAAACAGTGCCTCGGACCCTGCAGACTCCAGCGACATGGACCGCAGACGGTGCCGCCTGACCTGTCCCGAACGGGAACGTGGACTCGCGTGTGGGCGATGATTGGGTCTTGCGTCTGCCGTCGACCCCCCTGCTCGTCGAGCGGCGTAGTTCGCGTTATCCGGAGTACAGCACTGTATTTACCGTCACTGAGGAGTCGAAAGGCTCGAGACACAGGACGACGAGATAGGAACCTCAGGGCCATGCTTGGGCCTTGGGATGTGGGCTGGCTTGATGCTGGTTCTCACACATGATCTGCTTATACATAGACGAATAGTGTGAGTGCGATGTACCCGCCCAAGTCAAGTCAGCCACAATCACGGTGCCGAGAAGTCTCTTCCGGTCAGGCCCCCCACGGAACGACTCAAGCGAGAGGCACAATACCTTGGTCAATTCGCTGGCTGGGCAGCGAGATGGACGGGCAGAAAACAGTACCAACAACAGCGCATAGCATGACCTATTACCTGGACCTTCACATGGGGAACTCGGAAGTCGGAGCAACCAGCACTACTCCGTACTGCGAGAGACCAAAGCCGAGTGACAGAGCTTGAGGAAATTAGCCGCCTGTTTCCCCCCGTATGCGTACGGCTGACGGACACTTTCCCGTGTCCGTCTCATGTCTTTTTTCCCCACGGGAAAGCTTCTAGTTTAGCACTGGAGAAAGTTAGTTGGCGCAAGATCTGAAGGGGCAAGTGATTACCTAGCTTTCAATACAAGAGCGACTTTCCACAGCAAGCTCTGATTGAATATAACAGATTGATTGTTTCCATTGCTTAGGTACTGAAGTGCCCAAAGGCCCCGTACCTTACCCAAGACCGACTCCGTTGTGGTCCCCCCCGGCCCCCATTTGTACCTTATCCATTCACCATCTGGAACCATGAGACTGGCCAAGGTACAGAGCCGGGTACTGCAAGCCAAGTACATGTGGTTTCCAGATGGGGGCAATTTGTAGTGTGAAGCAAAGACAGAAGTGACTTGAGAAACCAAGGTACCTTCAAGTATCCCAGCCCACCACATGCGCCAGTGACCCCTTCTCGTTCCCGCCGCAATGGGTGTGGCCCGCGTGCCTGCCAGCTGCGGTGTTGTCGCCGCCTGCCTCCTGCCTCTCTTTCGCTTTTGGGGAGGCACGAGGTACGTGACTACCTCGTTCCTCGCATTGTGAGCGTCGCCCCTTCCTGTCCCGAGTCTTTCGACCTCCCCCGTCCCCCATCGTCGCCCGTCCCGTCCGTCCATCCTCACCCTGGGTGCGCTCTGGTGCGGCATCATCCTCCCACCACCGCCACCACAACCACATCCACCTCTTCTCTCCCACCCCCCGTCAATCAAATCAAGTAATTCATCAATCCGTCAATCCATCAATCACCCGTCACCCAAATCGACAGAACACCACCACCCCCCGGCATACCTCCCTCCACCTTTCGGTATCTCTTACCCTCGACATCTACTACGGTTCCTGGTCTCCCGCTTGCCGCACACACTCCCATTCAACTCTTACACCCACATACCTACACACGCATTTTCCAAACACACGCAATCCTTTCCCCTCGATCGAGGGAACATACTATTTACCGTATAGTAATAATAGAGGTGCCCTCCAACGGGTACACGCACACCAACCCTCCCCCCAGCGCTACGCTCCGCGCTACTTTACAAGATACACGGACCGGACTCATCCCACCACCACACGCTACGCCTACGATTACCACCACCATCCCTCCCTACCTCGCTTCTCCAGATCCGCCCTCCACTCGGTCGTCCCCCGAAACCACATCTCCTGCCGCCTCGCTCCCTTGTTCGTTCGTTGGCTTCGAAATCCGCTCCATCCTCCTGCCTGTCCTTCGCCACCTTTGGCCCAAACCGTACTACATGAACCTCTCTTGCGCCGCCCGAAGCCACTTTCACCCCTTCGTCTGCTCTCCCTCACGTTCGTTCTGACCCGCGCGCCTGCACACTGCTGCACCGAGGCAGACTACAACATTCCCTAAAGTCGACTGGGAAATCTGCAAAAAATTCAGAACCACAACGGCCTCGGGACACGAGAGTCATATCTCCACTCATGCCAGTCCATAGTTGACCGCTGAGACAGCCGCGCCGGTCTCGCTCCTCCCTCTCTTGCTGCTTCTCTGCCGACCCCCTCCCCGCGAAGTCTCGAGCCGCCGTCCGAATATACTTTGCGAAATGGATTTGAGCCAGAGCATGAGCCAGAGCCAAAATCACATGCTGCACGGGCCTGCGCCTGAAGACCGCCAGCTGCCGCCATCCTCCTCATCCCTCACCCACACGCACCACTTCCGCCCACCTGCTTCTGCTTCTGCTTCTGCGTCTACCTCTACGTCGGCTTCTGCTTCCATCTCCACCACCTCTCAACCCAACAAGCACGTCCTCTCTCACGCTCGCTTTGATCCGACACATCTCCCGTCCCAGCTGCCTTCATATGCTCCCCCGAGCTATGCGCATGCCCAATCCCACGATTCCAACCTGCTGAGGTTTCCCGACGCCCCGACTACCGAGCTTGCACCCATCCTTCCTGCCGCCAAACACAATGATAACGTCGGTCACAACCTGCCATCTCTCTCGTCCGTGACAGGTCCCCCGCCCCCGCGGTTCACTTCCATCGTCGCCCAATCTCAACCTATCGAAGCGCAGCAGCAGCAGCAACATCAACATCAGCATCACCAGCCGCAATCACAACCCCAACCAACTACATCCTCCCTGAAGCGGTCCTCGACGACAACAGTACCCCTCACCCACTGGCCGAGCCTCAACCCCCTCACAACGTATTATACACCTAGTCATGCCCAGTCCGCCGACTCGCCTGCGCGAATGGATCTCGACGTAGTCAGCAATAGCGCCATGAGCGCAGCATCCCCAGACCGGTTTTACGAAGGACGCGCTGCCAGTGTCAGTCTGGACGACCCCGACGTGCGCATGGCAGCTGAAGCGCTTGGGGATCTGCGAGCCGGTTCGTCGTTTGCGAACCTCCTCTTGTGCCGAATGACGAAAGCTAACATGTCTAGACTTCATTAACTCCCCTCCCGCCCGTCACACACCTCTACCGAGAGCCTCGCCGGCCGTGTCAATCACCTCGAATCCACAACTCAAGTCTGAAGAACCCTTATTCTCACTTCTGACAACATCCCACCCGTTACTCGCGACCACTATCGAAGGTGCCACATCGGCTTACAATAACTCCAAAAACTTTTCCCCGAGATTCAAATCTAGCGCCGAATATGTGGAGGGTTACTTGACGCCCATTGCCAACACTGTCGGCACGGTTGGACGGAAGACAGGTGTTGAAGGTGGCGTACGCTGGTTTCTCGGCGCCGGTCGACGGCATCAGTCCAATGACATTGAAGCTGCCGACGGAGGGTCTCATAAGCGGCGCAAGGTTGACACGGGAGAAGACTTGGCTAGGCTCATGATTGATGCACAGAGCAACATGATGCCTGACGTGGACTCTCCCCGTGATCCATATGTGTTCAAGCACGACCGTCGACTTTCGCGAGCTAGCACAATCGATACCCTGCCGGCGTATGACGACTACCGGTCCCCGGCCTACAGTGAGAACGAAAAGGCCGAGCGACCCACATCATCAAATGCTGCTTGGCAGTCTCGCTTAATCATGTCTACCTCGGGTCTCAGTGTTGCTATGAGCGACGAGAGTCTCAGGAGCTTGAAGTATTGTCTACGATGGCTGCGGTGGGCGAACGAGCATATTGGTGGGGTTATCAACAATCTCAAGACGACTCTTGAACAATTCGAGAAGCCGGGTCAGCCCCAACAGGAAGAGCAGACTGCAGTCACTAACGATGGCGACCATGTCATGGCTGACAGCCATCCCGAGCCAATGTCTGAGCAGGAGCGCACAATCCTGGCCGCCAAGATTGCTTCACTCAAAGGTGACGTTCTGAAGACACTACAGAATGTAATCGTCACCGTTTCCAAATACGCTGGCGGGGCCCTCCCCGAAAACGCTCGTCTGTTGGTTCGCCGTCACCTGACTACGCTGCCACAGCGATTCCGTTATGCTAGCATGGTTGAACACCAACAGGGAGAGAAGGGTAGTGACCAGGAGGCGATGCGCGAAGGCGCTCATCGTGTACTTGTTCTAGCTAAAGAGGGTCTCGACATGATGTCGCAAGTCAGTGGAGTCCTTGATGGCACCATTGTCAGTGCCGAGGAATGGTGTGAAAGACTTGGGAGGAAGAAGCGGGATCAACGCGAGGCTGTCCTACCGCAATCTCAACCTCAAGAGGGTGATGTCAAGGTTGCCCTTGTTTGAGTGAGCAACGATTTCCTACGACATTGGTCCAAGAACCACAAATGACAAGGCGGTCGGGTTACTCTTTCCTTTTATAATCTCTTCCCAAAACCACCAAGTGGATGATTTGAACGGCGCAGAAATGGACATGGAAAAAGAAAAAACAAGAGCAAAACGTGGACGAAAATGCGCTGCCGCAGCAGACGCAAGACTCACAACAATGATACCAAACAGAGGACACCCTCACCATTACCTACTACTACTTCTCTTCCAGTATACCATATCACATCCTACTACTATCAATTTTTCCTCAAAACTACAAACACATCCAACACGGACATTTTTTTTTTCCTTCTCATATTTTGTTGATTATGCTATGATTCTTGTTCATTTGGCAGTTCATCTTTGTTGCCCGGTTCTCAATGTGTCATTTTCTGGATCACGGTATTAATAGGACGGTCTACAGAGTCCTGGGGCGTCTTCGTATTTGCACTTAGCTTCAAGCTTGGATTCGCTATGTACAGAGCTTGCGCAATATTTGCACAAAGCAAAGCCAATCTATGTGTCAAGAATATGAACACTTGTCAACACCTTTTACTGAGTTCTCGACGATATCCGTGATTCGACCAAGTAAGGTTCCCCCAAAGGCTTCGCTAGATATGTTCATGGCTACGATAGCCTTCCTATGATTTCGACGAAACATGGTTCCGAAGCCTGCCGGGACGCTGCGTGCCGTCAAACGTGTTCCCTCCTCGCAGGCCAAACATCATCTGGTGAACCCAGCGCGCGGCAGAGTCCAGGGGTATTTGCGACCTTAAACTCAGCAATGCAGTATCCCATGAAGGGATTAGCATCCGAGGATTGCGAATACGGCGACGGGAAGCAATTTGAGACCGGTGTCCTGAGAGTTTCTGCGAGGCTGAGATTAGTAGTCGAGCCAAGATTGGTGCACGGGATCCGGGGAAGAGCATTGATGTCCCGGACGGACCAGGCGATTGAAGGGCTATTCCGCGGCACCATGCCTTCTCATTCTCTTTTCTGAGCTTCTGATAGGGCAAGGCACGCGGAGGTTTCATAAACCTCCGTCCAAAAGACCTTTTGAGCATTGCGATCTCTTTATCCGTTGTCCTGTCTGCCACCAGATACGGAAGGCTCCTAAATAGTCTGATTATCCTGTCTGAACCTCGGAATAAAGAAAGCTTCTTCAGAATCCGGGGCTCTATTCTCGTCTGTTGACGGGCGGATATCGGATTCGGTGGATCAAACAGCTTTCGTCTACCCCAGGCGAAGTATTTCAGAATCCAGACTATCAGATTCTTATGCATGTGGCCAAGGGATATTGTCTTGATGAGATGAGAAGAATAGAAACGAGCACAAGAGCCTTAGTTAAAGTGGACAGACATCAACGCTGGCCTCGTGGCATCAGAGAAGGTTGACAGCGTGGTCGGCGAACGTATGACCACTGGAGGAGGCACGGCGACGGTGGTACTGTACAGTAAACGGAACGTGGGAATACTTGATATGGACTTTATCCTCTAGAGTTCGACAGAGACACGTGAAATGGAGGTGAATGTTCTTTGAGATAAGCTTCCGTCGACCTAGCTGCATAGATCACACGTAATGACTCAGCCAACAGGCCGTTCCAACAACAACTCAGTGCTTACAGAAAGCAGAGCCCTTACCCACGATTCTTTGACACATGTACTCTTTCAATGATTACCTGAAATACGGCTGCAAGATTAGACAAAGAGTTGCAATTACAGTTCGTCCCTAATAACCCGAAAAGACACAACATTGCTTCAACTGAATCACGTTACTCTCCAGACAGATCGAGAACGCCACAGTCAGCTTAGGCTTTGAGAGAGCCCACAAAGGCGTTGAAGTTATACTTCTGACAAGCACCGCTGATCTCCTTGCTGCTCGTGCCCCCGAGAATCGGAACTCCGTTCCGGGCTACTGAGAACTTCTGGGCACCGATGCCCATGGTGAAGTTAGTGGTCTGAATCCCCGCGCCAACGGGCACCGTGACCGGCGCCTGGCCGCCGCTGGTGACGGTGAGCGTGGCGGGCTCCGTAAGCATCGTGGCCACGAAGACCGCGTCGGCGAGGTACTGGATCCCGTTGGGGGCGCCGAGGGTGTCGTTTGTGCATACCGTGTTCTTGGGCGTTGGGCGGTACCAGTAGACCAGCTCGTCATTGACAACGGTGGGCTTGTCGGCTCCGGACTTGTAGGCTGCTATATAGGGCTTCATAAGGGTGCGCCAGGCGTCGTGGGGGAAGCCGGTTGCCCAGGCGGAGGAGCCGTCGTCGGAGTGATTTGGTTGTGAGCCGCTTGAAGATGTCAGCTCCTAATTCTGTGCATCATTTGATTTATCTTGGGTTCACTTACGAGATGTAGTGACTTTCACCAAAGTCTATCAAAACCTTCAGTCATGTTTCGACGACAAGGCATGCATGCAATGAGACTCACCATTCCAACTGATGATTTCAATGAGTGCAGGCTTCATAGCAAGCATTTGCTCCCAGCGGATGGTGGGCTGCTCTTCCGTGATGAAGACCCAATTCTTGGTGTTGAAGTGAGTTGAGAACCAGGGCGAAACGGCTTTGCAGTGTGTCAGTATAATGTCTGTACTTGGTAGAGAGAGCCTCCTTACGAGCCATGTACGGACGACTCCCCAAATTTGCTAGATACCGGTCGTCCCAAATAGTCGTCATCGGACCGGGAATGATACTATTACCCCCATCCGTCGGCCACGCATACCACGAAAACGCGCCATCGAGCCCCGTATTCGCAACAGAAAGCCATGCTGGATCTTGGATCATAGGGAGAGCAGTAACTTTCTGTCCGGGTGGCATGCCATTCTTCACCGCGGTCCAGTTCATGTTGTCGCCGACAAAGGTGCTCACGATGGATCCACCGTCGTACCGCGCCTGGGCCGGGTGCGCGCTGTAGTTACCAACGATGGAGGTGATTTCTGCGGTGTCGGCCGTGGACCAGTACGCAAAGTCAAAGGAGATGAAGACGGTGAAGTTGAGGTCTTGGGCTGCCTGGTAGGCGTTTGCGAGTTGTTTGGGGGTGTAGCTGTCGATGCGGGCTGGAGCGCAGTTTAGGGCGAACCCGTCGATGCCAATCTCTTTGGCTTGGGTCATGTCGACGTGCCAGTCTGATATGGTGTAGTTTTCGACGATACCGAGCTTCAAACCGAGGTAAAGAGATTTATTAGCGGGCCCGTCAATTTAGTAGGTGATGTTCTCACCATGAAGTGCGCATAGACGGGCTTCGCCGTTTGACCCAATACCGGCAAAAGCATCCACGCCAGCAGAGAGAGGCATATCTGAGATACCGGCGCCATTTCGAAAGCCTATCGAACGATTCTGAATTATTCAATGAATTCCAAGGGGTTTTCCGATTTGAACTTCCTTTAATCTAATCTCCTCCAGGACTGCACGTCTAGATCAACGATATATAACCAACGTTTGTCGTTCTACTGTCCGATCGAGTAATAAGACTCGAAATGTGACTCCACAGACTCACAACACAAGCCTCAACAACTTCATCAACCGTCGTTGAAGTTGAGACAACGTGACATGACGAATAAAGTGTGATGGTACAGCCTCTGAGTCCTACCACCTGCAGATGGGACGGAAGTCCGGGGCGGTCACGGCGCGGACTGCATCAATCACAAGTACAAAATGTGACCAGATTCTGAAGGGCCGAAAGTTTAACATCATCAGACACTGCGAGAATCATCAGCGGCATTTCCATCATTGGGGGAATAATTGAATGAAATGAAGATCTTGTTGGTAGGATGCCTCCAATAGAGATGCGCGTTTGCCGCCTGACATCCTTACTCTCATGAAAGCTTCACCGTGCCACATGTTGTTTGGACAGTAACCCATGGAACGATCTTCTAAAATAAAAGAAAAAAAAATAAAAGAAAAAAGGCCCGAAGTTTGTCAATCACTCTGCTTGATGGAGCCGTGAAACCTCACGAGGTCAAAGGGGGTCAAAATCAACCTCACGATTGGGTAGAGAGATGATGTGCCAGTAATTGCGCATTCAAGCTTCCCAAAAGAGAAGGTCCTCGTCCTCGACATGCACCATGCTCTAAGAGATGTCATGAAACTTTTTATCAGGACAGGGAATATTGGAAAAGACCGAGGAGCTTGTGGCGGGTTCTCTGCGATATTTGTGCGGCCTGATCGTTGTCACAAGATTTCAGCAAAAGAGGGTTACATCTCAAGGGCACCATTTCTACCAAAGGTCCAAACCACAAAATGATTTGTCGAGGAGTGGGCATTCCTGACCGACTCACTGTTTGCATGTTATGTGCTTACGTTTTACTGCAAGTCAGTGGTATTTTCTATGATGACCGGGCATAGTCTTGCAGATGATGACGGGATTTCGTCACAATTTTATGCTATACGCGGTCCTAGATCTTGGCCAACTCTAATACTGTATAAGCACGAAAATTCTGCATCTCTTTCATATGATACTCTTTGTTTTCTCTTCTGTGATTCCAACCCGACGGCGCGCAGAGTTGAAGTCGGTTTAAGGAACCCCCCAATCTTTTCCGTTACAATCATCCCATCTTGGGAGTATTTGGCGTCGGAATAATACCACCTGCAGGGAGTACAACTACCGCAGTAGGGTCTGATTTTGATGTTGATTGGAGGGTCGTTCATGTTTTGTGCTTGTGATTTGTCTCGACTACTCCGCACTGCCGGATGTTGACACCAACCATGTGGCAAGCCGACGAGACATTCCGTCATGTGGTGCTTACTGACATCTGGCACGGTCTGGACACAAGTTTCCACCTTTTCCGTATGCACCCCAGATAAATGACTTTGGCCAAGGAGACGCCAGTCGGGTTGTTGGGAGGGTTGTATTCGGAGACCAGCAGTCAGCGCGGGCCGAATGACATGGATTCTCAACTGCCCATTCAGCGGCCAGAGGAGATAATAAGCATGACTTCAAAGATTCTAGGGACGGTGATCTAGGGCCCTGTGACATATGTGGTTGCCCATGATTTGTCGCTTGTGCGGAATGATGTATGAAAAGAGCAAACCCTTCTGTTTGTTCTCTCGAAGTTCGTCAAACGGAGATTTATCCTCACTTCAACCCTTTTCTCCGAGAACAAGTATGTAATGAGAGACTACATGTGCCAGAGCAAGGCATGGCTGCAACGTGACATAAGATTCTTAATGCCACTGGTATTTTGGCTGCAGTTGACCGCAGGAAGGCTTTGTGCCTGATCATGCAAACTGCCGGCATCCCATGAGCAATTAACCGGAATAAGAGGGTTGTCGGTGTGGACATTGTGGCATCATCAGGCTTATGACAGACATACGATTCGGACCTTCTCTTTTGAGTGAGGTAACAGATCTGCGGAGCATCTCAGGCACAAAATCGATATGCAGAGCTCCATGACATTGACCTAGAATCATGCGGGATGCCAGTGCGGCCTGCCACGCTTGTCAGCGGACGGGAATGAGCAGGGGAAACGGGAGAACGGACGAAGAAAGAGCCAAAGCGAGAGACAGAGCGCTTCGGAAGGCGCCAAGTAATCCGGGCTTATAAAGGGAAGTTCCTCGATTTTTTCATTTCTCTTCTGTGTAACTAGCAGGCTCGGATTGAGGCCATCACAACGATCCAGAATGATTTCCACTCGTCTTTTCAAGGCCTTTCTGGCTACGGCCATGTTGACTTTGGCCACCTGCCTGACGGTTCCATCCACACATGGCGACACCCTCAGCCTTCGCCAAGATAGTGGTGAGAAGCTTGTCTTCTGTCACTTCATGGTGAGTTTAACCCAGTCTTTCCATCTCTGCAGTTCCTAGCTAACACTCTGAAAGATTGGTATCGTCGGTGCACGTAGCTCGCCCAGCGAGTACGATGCTGATATGCAGAACGCCAAGGCGGCTGGCATCGACGCCTTTGCTCTCAATATTGGCGTTGACCCTTACACAGAGGCCCAGCTCGACTTGGCTTACCAGTCTGCTGCCAACAATGGCATGAAGGTCTTCATCTCGTTCGATTTCAACTGGTACCAGACTAGTGAGGCAACTCGCGTCGGCCAGATGATCGCCAAGTACGCCTCTCGTCCCGCTCAGCTCATCGTTGACGGCAAGGCGTTTGCATCTTCGTTTGCGGGAGACGGCCTGGATGTCGGTGCTATGCGCAGTGCTGCGGGCGTTCCCGTCTTCTGGGCACCCAATTTCCATCCAGAATTTGGCACAGACTTCAGCGTTATTGACGGTGCTCTCAACTGGCTCGGCTGGCCTAACAACGGACTCAACAAGGCTCCCGACGGTCGAGGCAACGTCTCGGTCCAACAGGGCGACGCGGCGTACACAACGGCACTCAAAGGCAAGCCATACATTGCACCAGTATCACCGTGGTTCTTCACCCACTTTGGCCCCGAGGTCCCCTATTCCAAGAATTGGGTCTTTCCCTCTGATACCCTCTGGTACGATCGGTGGCAACAGATTCTGTTGCTTAAGCCGCGCTTCCTTGAGATTGTGACTTGGAATGACTACGGCGAAAGTCATTACGTCGGACGTCTTGACAGCCCGCACGGTGATGACGGGAACTCCAAATGGGTCTACGGATTCCCCCACAACGGATGGCTCGACATGGCACAGCCGTTCATCAAGGCGTTCAAAGCCGGCGCTAGTGATCCCAAGACCTACATCACCGAGGAAAAGGTTGTCTACTGGTTCCGCCCGACTCTCCGAGGAATCAACTGCGACGCGACTGACACTACAATGAGCGATGCCAACAACTCTTCTGGCAATTACTTCAAGGGCAGGCCAGATGGATGGCAAACTATGGAGGACAAGGTTTACATCGTGACGCTATTGAAAGAGGCCGCATCTTTGACTGTCAATGTTGCCGGCAACAGTCAGACTTTCCAAGCCCCTGCTGGTGCTGCCAAGTTCTCTGTTGATATGAAGCCGGGAACTGTCGCCTTCAATATGGCTCGAGGAGGATCTTCCATTCTCTCTGGTACTGCTGGCATGCAGATTCTGGACCACTGCCCTTGTGGTATTTATAACTTTAACCCTTACGTCGGAACTCTCAAAGCAGGAAGCGCAGACAACCTTCTCCCAGCGGCTTATTCTTCCATCTATGCTGGTTTGAAGGTCAGCACGTGCGGGCCGAATGGGATGAAAAGAACAGCGGTTCCACTTGCTGATATGGTAGCTCCTGCAATGGCCACACCCACGGTCTAAGGTGTCTTCGTGTACTTACTCTGGGAGGCAATGGAATGAAGGCATATGGGATAGCATGGAGGTCAGATTGCCTTACGTATTTACTCATGCAGCACATAGCTGGGGATGAATTGCGTCACTGATTGCTTTCAGCTGAGTTTTGTTATATTGAATGTATGTAAATGACCGTGTGATAGAATTTGGAGAGATTCAAACAATGCATAATCTGTAGTGACTGTGTAATTCCCTTGCAGCTACTCATTTCTCAATCACTTGTTGCCTCCCAATTTCCTTGCCAAATTTACTGTGCCTCTTTCTCAAGCACAGTGCATCTGAGCCGGAAAGGTCTCAATTTGATCAACCCTTCCATATCTTCAAGCTTTCTTTCAATGTCCTCATAGGTCTCTGAATGATGAAAGGTATCATTTGCCTCAAGATTGGACCAGCCGACGAAAGCTGCCAAGATGGACCCTGTCTGATTGGGGTCTCCTCCCTTCACGGGAAAATTGTCCTGAACTCCCCAACCATAGCTGGTGGCGGTCACCTCAGGCACTTGTCCGAAACCTTCCTTAATAATCTCCTGCAACCGTGTAGTCGCCACGTTTTTCGCTTCAGGGGTGATGTCTGAAGGAAAGTAGATGATGAAAACATCAGTCACGACGGACTTCAGCGCATCTGGGAGGCTTGACGTGGCGTTGATGTGCTTGCAGAATTCTCCGTATGTCAGAACTTTGTGCAAGTCTTTGCACAGCTCTGCACCATATCTTTTACTCATCAGAAATGACTTTTGGGAAAATGGTATGTGGTTAATGGCTTGACTTACTCTTTGGCAAACTTCTCGTGGTGCTCAATTGAGTCCCAATCGAAGAAGCCCCAGGACATGGATGAATCTTCAAGTTCGACTGCCAGATACAATCGATAGGGAGCGCCAGGTGCCACGATAATCTTGCGATAGACGCTCATGTATGTCTGGCCCTCTGGTGTGGACTCATCCATGATGTTGAGGCCGGGCTTGACGCCCGCGGCACCAAACTCGGTGACGATCATTGCGAAAGACCAGTGGAGGAAGTGTATTTAGTTGATATATGGAAGACGAGATGCGATTGAAGATATCGAGGGTATTGGGTTCAGATTAAACCACAGCATTTCAGCTCTTTTGAACTAGAAGCGCATAATGGATGCCTGAGCTCGACTCGTAACTGCTTACGCGGGGTGTAGGCAGCGATTGCTGTATCTCACTCGGACATATTGACGTTTCAATTGATGCCTGAAGTTTTGCACACTTAATGTGAGTAAGCGCTTATTGTCATATAATTCTATGTTTGCAAGATGACTATCAGTTGAAGGGTGAATAGTCAGTCGTCTTACGGCTTCTGAGCTTAACGGTGTAACTTCTCATCTTCAATCACATCACGCGATTACGCTTCCTGTCAGCCTGTTCTCACGCACTTCATTCAAGGTGTCATTGCTAAATGTGCTTCAACGTTACGTAAACGTATCAGAGTCCTAACTCTGTGATGATGATCTCTGCAGCCTTCTCCCCCACCAGCAGTGCAGCATTGTAAGTGTTAGCAGCGACTTGCTGAGATGGCACGCTAAGATCCGCAACCTTCAACCCGGACACGCCGTAGACGTTCAGGTGGGGGTCGACTGTGACATCTGACGTCAGTATAAGGCTCAACCTCAAAGCTAAGCAGGGCTGTGCTACTTACCAACCCCTCGATTCTCCCGGGGCGCCATCTTGCAGGTACCAAGAGGATGTCTTGATGTCCCGATGTTTTCACGAACGTACTGGATGATTGCAGCATCGTCTTCGATAGAGTACTCAATCGAATCAGTGACCGGTCCTTCGGCCACCTCGATGACAGCGGCGCTCGATGTGTTGGCGAACTTAGGGTGCCCCAGTGCGAGCTCGCCTCGAAAGATTTCCATTCGACGGGCGATGGCTCGTTGTGTCTTGTACCCCCAGATGTGGCTCCTCAGGTCGATGTCATTCTCGTCAAGTAGCCACCCAGTGGTGAAGTCGTACTCATCATCTATACTCGGCCCAGTAGCATGAATGTGGCCCCTCGCGTATGGGTATGTTACCCAGGGTGCTGTGGTAACGTACTCGGCATCATCGGGAAGAGTGGCAGGGTCGCCAAAGTAGGCATTAAAGAGTCCCATGATCATGAGAGGACGATTGGGCGAGTCTTTGAAGTCCCTATCCCAAGCAGCTTGGAATTCTGGCCCCAAAGCTGCAATATCAGCAGGGGATGGTCTAAACTTGCTGGAGGCATCGTGGCCGTTCCATCCAAGCTGCTTGTCGTCGGCGGCAATCATCGCATCCACGTCTCGTCCTCTATCATTTCGGGCTATACCGTTGATGGTCTCGTTCCGATTGAGGTTTGTGCGGTAGACGTACCCAACAAAGTGATGATCTATGAGATATTAGGAAGCCGTTGAAACGCCAGCAATCACCCAAAGAGTGAGATCAGAGTTACCTTGGAAGTCATTGCCCACTCCATCGAGACTTTCGATAATCGGTAATCCCGCCTTTTCCAGCACTGCAGGATCACCAACTCCGGATCTTTCAAGAAGCAATGGAGTTCCAAAAGACCCCGAGGAAGCAACCACTAGCTTTCTCGCCTTGACTCTAGTCGTGCTATTGTCTCCGGCATCCTTCGCGAATGCAGGGTTGGGTCGGATTTCCACCCCAGTGGCGCGGTTCTCTTCTCCCTCAAACAGAACACGGAGAACCTGGGTTTCTACTAGCACACTCAGATTAGGATAGTCGCCACTTTGCAGAAGTGGATGCAAGTAACGATGTGCGACATCTTGGCGGCGGCCGTCGGTAGGCGAGACATATCGATACCAGGGCCCGGAGCCATTGTTGGAGTGCAGACTTTGAAGGTCTTCTACCTCTGACCAACCTGCTTCTACGGCCCCATCAATCCAACCTCTTTCAGCTCGAGGCGCTTGGTGTGTTCCCTTTGATACATGGATTGGTCCATCATACCCGTGAGTGGATTGATTGTTAGTTGCGCCGTGATACGTTTCGATCTTGAATATGCATCAGCTATCATGAATAGTTTAAAGCAATGAGAAGATGGAGGAGCAAAAACCTTCCGCAGAAGCGGCAGCAATTCTTCTGCTGACCATCCCGTCGTGTTCCAGGAGTTATAATCGTCCCATTGCCCACGGGTGTACACCATCCAGTTGATAGCTGATCCACCCCCGAGAATGCCGCCTGTCTCAACAACCGGCTCACGGTCCGCCAGCTGCGATGACTTCTTGGCCTTCCAGAACAGAGCAGTATCCGAATTGGGCAGGGTATTCCGCTCGAATAAGGCCGGGTAGATGACGTTTGTGACATTGAAGCTGTCTTTTCCCTGCTCGATAACAAGAATCGATAGGGAGGGGTCTGCTTCAGCGAGTCGTGAGGCAACGATGCTGCCCGCAGTGCCTCCTACGTGCGAAATGAGAATTTGGCCACTGGAGGATTGTTTAGAATAGACTCACCTCCAGCAATGATGACGTCGACCTCTGTGAGATTAGTTGGAAGTTCAGTATACAACCCTTCAGACGCAGTCGCCAGCGCTATTGCGGCTACAGAAGCCATCTCCAGGGCTTTCAGTCTCATGATTGAATGTGTGCAACAGGTGAAGTAAGTGAAACAAGTATTAGCGCTGTAAGTTGTTGTCAAAGGGAATGAAGAGTTGACGAAGTTTGTCTAGCTGGACGGTAGCTTGAAGAAAATAGTGCTTGGCTACCTGAAAGACATTCCGGTGTCGGCTGCTTCCATTACGAAGTACGTTTTCAAAGGTCTACTTAAGCACTTCCAACCGATTTTCAATAACTTCCGGGTCTGGAGTACGCTCAGCGCGGCCCAGGCGGAACGGCCCAGTAGTGTCGTATCGCAGAGGCGGGGGATGCATCCGACGTTGTAGAAAAGGTTCCTAGCTTACTTGGCATAGTCTTCAGGTGCATAATACCAGGTTTACTGCTTGGATTCATGAAAAGAGTTTACTAATGGTATACTAAGTCCAGGAATGTAAGTCGAATGCCACCTGCAGGAATGTCGATCGCCGGTCAGCGTCGTAACATCCCCGCTGTTCAGTCGAATAACTAAAGACTTGAGTCCGAGCTGACGAACAGCAGGCGAGCTCAGAACTTTGCTCTTCAGCTTCTGTTGATTGCGCCATCTTAATTCCAGTCGTAGATGACCTCTGCATGGAACTAACGGGATGACAAGTGCAAATGAGGAAGAACCTCAAGAGAACATGACATATGCGCTTATTGAATTCGACCACAAGTCTAGATCGTTTCCAGGCTGAAAAGTAGTGGTTTCTAATGAAAACTTACCGAGGGGCGCCAAAGACAAGCAGAAATCCCAATTTCTATCCAACTTGATTTGAAGAAACAAAAATTCAAGGGACCCGAGGGAAGTCAAAAAACTGACCAGCCTGGGGGTCGAACCCAGAATCTCCTGATAACATGTTAAGTCGGGGAACCGCTTAATCGTAGTCAGACGCCTTGCCATTGGGCCAACCGGCCGGTTGTGATTGAGGGGGGCTGAAAGTTTGTCTTGTAGCGCCGCGGCGTGCCACCAGCGCGAGGCCCACCGCCCGCCAGGACCCTCGGAGCGCGCTCGATCAACCTGAGAGACAGGCGTGTTGCGTTTTCAAAATTGGCAGCATTTCACGATTTCGAGAAGCTTTGCAAGAGGCTGTTAAAGTCATAATCATTCATTCCAATTCTAGCTCTAGCTGTCCGTGACATGTGTCCAAGTCTCAGGACACCAGTGTAACCATTTCGTCGTAACCCAAAGTCATTAAAATCCAACTCTTTCCAAAACGAATCCAAACTTGAACTCTCCGACATGCACCTTCAAGTCCTCCCTGACATTAGGACCACAAGCGGCAGTACCAACACCAGCAACACGGGCATCAAGACGCAGAAGCGTTGCATCCTCCTCGACGAGATCGCACGGGTGCGCGGCCTTGTGCACCGTCTCGGAAGTGTAGCGACTGACCTGGAAGCTGAACTGGCGCCACTCCTCCTCAGACCAGACAGCAGCGTCAGCCGGCGTTGCGCGAAGGCCGCGGCCGTGGTCCTCGGTGAGCTTGACGTAGCGGGTTTCCAGATGGTTGCCGCCTTCTTGGGGTACCTCGTAGTGCTGGTGCAACTCCGGCACGGTGGCACTGAAGACGCCGAGATGTTGACTGGACTTCTTATCTGGGTAGGACTCGCCGGGGCCGAGAGCGAGGTACTTGACGTTGTTGAGCGACTTGTGCAGGCGCAGGTTCAGGCCCACGCGGGGGATGTGGGTAGGTTTGATGCCGCGGGGCTTCAGGTCAACGGCGACGGTGAGGCGACCGGTGGCATCAATAGTGTAAGTAGTGGTGGTCTCCCAGCCCCAGTCGAGGACGCGAGGGGAGAGGTAGGTAGTTGTGATGACCTCAACCTTATCGGTCGACTCATTGATCTTGAATGATCGAAGGAAGCTGTCAAAAGCGTCAACACCGAAACGAACCCAGTAGGGGGCATCATTGGGGTTGTCGTTGTCGGTAGGGGCGCGCCAGAAGTTGGGGATAATGGCCGCGCCAGTGGCTTCGTCCTTCACGAGAAGAGGCACTCCGGCAGCCGTCCAAGATGTGATATATCCGCGGGCGGTATCAAAGGTGATGGCAAAGTCGGAGCCTGAGACGGTGGCCTTGGCACGAGACTTTTGAACCTGCAACTTGGAGGTGAGGGTGCTGTTAAGCAGCTTAGAGGCTGCCGCAACACCGGACAGCTTGTGCTGGATCCAAGCGATCTCGTGCGAGGGCTCGGCCCAGTTTGTGGAGTCCTTGAGACTGAAGGTCACGGTGATGTAGACCTCCTTGTCGGACTTAATCTTCGCGAGGCTCGAGGGCAGGCCGACCTTGACGGTCTCGCCGGCGGCGATCTTGGGGATTTCGAGGTTTCCGGCAGCGACGAGAGCGGAGCTGTGTTACAAATTGTCAGTAATCATGCTTCTCTAGATCAGTAGAGCTTCCTCCAGAATGACTTACTTTTCGCCGAGTTCCTCGACCTTGTAGGTGGAGGAAAGGTGGTCAACGCCAACAAAGTCGTACTTGTTCTTGATGACAAGCTGGTTGCCCTCAACTGACAGCTGAAGGGGCTGGTAGGCCTTCTTCAGCTCGATCAAACCGGGAGTAGGGTCGTGGGTACTATGAAGAAGACCATCCATGACAAAGGTGCCGTCGTGGGGACGCTCGCCAAAGTCTCCTCCGTAGGCATAGTAGCCCTTGCCATCGGCATCCTCCTTCCAGATACCGTGGTTCGCCCACTCCCAGATGTAGCCACCCTGAAGACGAGGGAACTTCTCAAAGACCTCAATGTAGTCATCGAGACCACCAGGACCGTTGCCCATGGCGTGACCGTACTCGCAGAGAACAACAGGCTTCTCGTAGCTGCCGTCCTCCTTTACACCCTCAGTCTCAACCAGCTTGGTGAGGCGGTCGATGGGAGGGTACATGTAAGAGTACATATCGGCAGTCTCGGCCTTGACATCGCCTTCGTAGTGGACCGGGCGACCAGAGTCGAAGTTCTTGGCGTACTCGTACATGGCTTTGTGGTTCTCACCGTAGAAGGCTTCGTTACCAAGCGACCACATGATGATACTGGTGTGGTTCTTGTCGCGCTGAACCAGCTGAACCATGCGGTCGAGGTAGGCCTCACGCCACTCAGGGTTCTCGCTGGTGTACTTCCCAGCAAGGGGGAAGGTAATGGCCTTGCGCGCCTCGTAGTCTGACGCCTCGTCGACATCCTGAGGGCGTGCAACAGCATCGTAGAAGCCGTGGCACTCGAGATCGGCCTCGTCCATGACCCACAAGCCGAGTTCGTCCGCAAGCTGGAAGACTCGGGGGTCGGGCGGGTAGTGCGAGCATCGCAGAGAGTTGATGTTGTGGTTCTTCATAATGAGCAGGTCGCGCTTGGCGTACTCGATGGGCACGGCGCGGCCAAACTTGTTGTGGTGTTCGTGCCTGTTGACACCTCTGATGCGGATTGGGGTACCGTTGACGGAAATCAGACCGTTCTTGAGCTCAACTTTGCGGAAACCAATGTTTTGGTAGACAGCATGGGAGCCCAGGGTGATGTCAACCCGATAGAGGTAAGGGGTCTCGGCAGTCCACTTCTTGGGGTTGGTAACGGGGATGCTGATGTCAACCTTGGTGTTGTCGGCAGTGACCTCTGCCTCCTTGGTCGCAATGACGGCACCGCCGTTCTTGCCTAGCTCGCTGAGAGTGAGCTTGACGGTGCTCTTCTCGGCGGTCTTGACGTCGACCGTCGCCAGGAGAGTCGCGTCTTCGTACTTCTCGTCGAGATCAGTGCGGAGGAACCAGTCCTCGATTCTTGTTTGCTCGGGTACGGCGAGGAGAGTGACATCGCGGAAGATACCTGTGATTAGCTCATTAGATGATTGTTCAAGCAGGTTGACAACGAAGCGGCCACTCACCCGAAAGCCACCATTGATCTTGGTCTTCGATGTAAGTTGCATCGGACCACTGGTACACTCTCACAAACAGCTCATTGGGTCCATCCCTCTTGAGGATGCTTGTGACGTCAAACTCGGACGCGTTTCGCGAGCCCTGAGCGAAGCCAATGAGCGTGCCATTGACCCAGATGTGGTATCCGGAGTCAACGCCATCGAATCTGAGGCGCAATTGCGACTTCTCATCCCACGTGGAAGGGACGTGGAATGTTCGTCTGTAGGTGCCCGTAGGGTTCTCGCTGGGAACGTATGGTGGGTTCACTGGGATAGGGAATTGTGTGTTGGTATACCACGGAAAGCCGTGTCCCTGAAGCTGCCAATGGCCAGGGACGTTGATGGTGCCCCATTCGTCCTCCTTGTCTTCTGGCAAAGGTGCTTCCTCGGGAGTGCCGGCCATGTGGAAGTCCCAAACGCCATTGAGAAGGATGGACGTCTCTGGGATGAAGTATGCGCGCGGAGGAAGGGTGTTGCGCCTGAAGACGGAGGGGTTCTCGTAGTCGTGAACTCCCTCCTCGGCCTGGAGAGACAAACTTTGAGAGGCCATCGTGGCGGTTTGGATGAGGGGTAACGATAGACTGAGACACGGATTTGGGGTGGAGGGAGAGAGGGGAGAAGGAATGTGAAGAGAGAGAAGCAAGAGGGTACAATCAGTTTGCCAGCTACCAAGGTTGAGTCGTTATTTATTCGTCCTCACTTTCTCCACGCGAAGTAACACGTCGGACGCAAGGCCGAGGGAAACGCCAGAAATAATCTGCAGACTGCGAGCACCCGTTCCCTCTCGTGAAGCTCACTCAAGTTTGTCCCGCCATATGACGAGGGAGCGTGGGGCAGAAAGACTGGAGCAGTTTCGGGGTAGCTCCGAGTCAGGTGGTGTCGGTGTAGTACGACCCCGAGGCCATCCTATCCTGGCGTTCCTTCGACTTCTTTTGCCAGAGAGACTCTTCACTCTTGTCCTACAAGAGCCCCGGCAACTCCTGGCAACTCCGCACCACGAGGACGCATGAGGGATAGTCTCCCCCAGCCCCGTGTGGTTCTGATTGGGTCCGGGGAAGTCGGGGCCGGCCCCGCACACCCATCCGGATACAAGCCGGTCCAAGTTGATGCAACCCTGCCAGCCATTTCCACCCTTTCGTCTGCTCCCCCCATGGGCCCCATCTCTTGGATGGACGAAAGGTTGTTGTGTGTTTGTTACCCCGGATTGACATTGTCCAGACCCCGGCTAACGTTGACTGAAAACTGCAAGCGCGCCCGTGGTGTTGGCTCATGGCTGATGGTCCGTCATGTCACCCCAGGTTCTTTCGTATTTTCTGCCTCCTGGGACCTTCGTTTGGATGGTATGATGGCCCGAATGCGGGGAGAAGATTTTGCCTTCTGATGGGCTGCAGAGAAGCCTGAGAGTCTGCAGTCAGAACATTTAAGACGGCCGTGTTATCGCCTCTCCATTCTTTCGTCTCCATCGATGATACCCTCCCAAGGCTTCCAAGACCTCCATCTCTCCACCGTTCCACTGTTCCAGAATTCTTGGTCCACTCCTCCCGAGCTGTATTGCTTGTCTGCAGTCCATCCTCCACCATGTCCGACGAGAAGACAGACCCCACGGTTGAGGGCCACGCCGAAGAGCGCCGTGACGATGCTGCTGCCGAGATCGACACTGCCGTCCACATTGCCCATCAGACGCAGTCTGGCGCCTATTCGCCCTGGACGCCGCACATGTTCCGACTCTACGCCGTCCTCTTTATTGGTTCGCACCTTGGTGTTTCTTATTAGTGTTGGCCTACTAACAACAATTCCGACAGCTTACCTCAATGGAGCTCTCAACGGTTACGATGGTTCCCTGGTAAGTAAACCCAGAGTCTGAGCACCATCATCATCATCTAACGAAGCACCTTTAAAGATGGGAGGTTTGAACGGATTGAAGTCCTACTTGAACTACTTCCACAAGTAAGTCACCCAGAAAACAAAACTCACTAAGCATTAGACGACAAGACTGACGCGAATCCGTCAGGGAAACTGTTGACGAGAGCACCGGAATCATCTTCGCCATGTACAACATCGGAAGTGTCGCCGCTGTCTTCTTCACCGGACCTGCAAACGACTTCCTCGGTCGCCGATGGGGCATGTTTATCGGGGCTGCCATTGTCATCATCGGCACCTGTGTTCAGGCTACAACCAAAACGTACGAAATCCTTTACTACTATGGTTGCATACCGGTTACTAATGGTTCTCAGCTCTGGCCAATTCCTTGCTGGACGATTCGTTCTCGGATTTGGTGTCAGTTTCTGCTGCGTTTCTGCTCCGACCTATGTAAGTCTTATGGATCGCGTCTGTCTTGGTCGTGCATGTCAACTAACATGTCATCTGTTGAGGTCTCTGAGATGGCACACCCGGCATGGCGAGGAACTATCACTGGCATCTACAACTGCACTTGGTACATAGGTATGTCTATCTTGGTCGCTTGCACATTCTCTGACTCCAGGTCTAATTATTACATACAGGCTCAATCATAGCTTCCTGGGTTATCTATGGGTGCGCCTACATCGATGGCGGTGAGGGCACCAGTGCTTGGCGCCTGCCCATTTGGCTTCAGATGTGAGTCTCTTCAACAAAAAAATAATTCTTCGTGTAATCCTTCTTCAGGCACTAACACATTTCTTTGCAGGGTTACCTCTGGTATCGTTTGCGTTGGCGTCTTCTTCATCCCCGAATCTCCGCGATGGCTCATGGCGAACGACAAACACGAAGAAGCCGCGAAAGTCCTTGCCAAGTACCATGGCGAGGGCTCTATCGATCACCCTATCGTCCAGCTCCAGCTGAAGGAGATGGTATCTCAAATCAGCACAGACGCATCGGATAAGTCTTGGTATGATTACAGTGAGCTCTGGAGCACCCACTCCGCCCGTCGCCGCCTCATCTGCGTGTTGGGCATGGCCTTCTTTGGCCAGATCAGTGGTAACAGCTTGAGTTCTTACTACTTGGTAATTCCGTTCTCCCTCTCTTTCCATTACTTGGAAATGACTAACATCATTCTAGACCGTTGTACTGAAGAACGCCGGCATTACAGACGAGAAGCGTGTCTTGGCATTGAATGCGATCAACCCGATTCTGTGCTTCTTCGCATCTCTCGTCGGAGCTCGTATGACGGATGTTGTCGGTCGCCGACCCCTCCTGATTTACTCCATCATCTTCTGCTCGTTCTGCTTTGCAATCATCACGGGAACTTCCAAATTGGCAACAGACGATGCTAACAACGTTGCTGCTGCCAACACAACCATCGCCTTCATCTACATCTTCGGCATCGTCTTCAGCTTCGGCTGGACTCCTCTTCAGAGCATGTACATTGCCGAGACCCTCAGCACCTCCACTCGCGCCAAGGGTACCGCAGTCGGTAACTTTGCCAGTGCTGTCGGAAGCACCGTTATCCAGTACGCCAGTGGACCGGCTTTCCTCAACATCAAGTACTACTTCTACATTGTCTTCATCTTCTGGGACCTCTTTGAAGCAGTCATCATTGTAAGTTTCGCACTGGTCCCTAACTGGATATGCCAGAACTCCGCTGATTGACTACCAGTACTTCTTTTGGCCCGAGACCAAGGATCGCACGCTTGAGGAGTTGGAGGAGGTCTTCAGTGCCCCGAACCCTGTCAAGAAGAGCTTGGAGCCTCGTTCGGCCGAGACTGTCCTGAAGACTATGCAGGTCGGCCAGGACGAAAAGGTGGCGTATGTCTAGTAGATATCTGTACCGGGCCGGGCTTGAGCGGCATTTGTGGGGCGATACCGGTCCGGACACTGGGTCTAGAGCTAGGATTCACCTGCATTTGCCGTCTATCTCGCTGTCTAAAGACTCTAATCAAGATGTTTCTGATAAAAGTTCAGATGATCTGCGATGTAAATGTTCCATTATGTGCGAAGTGCAACATCAAAACCAGTGTTCATGGAGACAGTCGATTCGTCTGTCTGTTGATGGTACTTCGTGCAAAAAAGCGTCCTTCACTATGATTGGGGCGGCACCGTTTGGACTAAGAAAATGGGCTAACGGCGCCATGTTCTATGAACAGCCACATCAGGCGAACCCAACCAACAGTCTTACTTAAGTGTTCGTACCGCGGTCACGTCTGAAGGAATGAAGGAAAAGCTTAATCGCCTATTGTATCCCTACAGAAAACTGGCAAAGCGGCACAGCTTAGAAGGAGTTGAGAGTCACCTGTCACATCGTCACATGTGCTTCTCTCCAACTCGTAATAGACGAATGCCACGATGGGACATACGTCCGTCTTTGACCCAAGCGATGTTGATGTTCCCCCGCCTGGGACCTTGTGGGCTCCCCTCATAGACGTGCCGGGGCTGCACGGAGCGAAACCACGGGAAGCCATAGAGATCCTAGACTGAGTCCAATTTTTACCCGGCATCCCACCATCTCATGATCCCACAAGCTTTTCCCCTTCCTAGCCAAGCCCCCGTCTACGTTTCTCCAAATTCTTCCTAATGAACTCACCCCCTTCTCCACATCATCGCCCTTCCCCCGCACTACACGTGGGTGCATATATGCATGTCCTGCTGCTGGGATTCCTCCTTTGACCCCCTTGTGCCGTCCATTCTTTTTTTTCTCCAGTCCACTGCCCCCAAACTCTGCTCCGACTCGGTCCGCTTCGGATCGAGGATCCCCTTCACTGCGGAACCAGGCTTTCTTGCTGTTACGGACGCTGTTGCTACGCCATGCCACCCAGCAGTTGCGATGGAGTCACTGGATAATGACACGATCAATGAGCCGTCGAGGAAGAGGTTGAGGACAAGTCATGCGGTATGTGAATTGCATTTTCTTAGAATCCTGCAAGCAACACAGTTCACCTCTTTCGTAAGTATCGTTTTGGCGTAGGACAAAGTGACAACTCGTGTCTATCATTTCACTGTCACATTGAACCGCCAAAAGAGTTCTTCACGAACACTGCGACTACCAAAAACACTGCACGCTTAACTGCTTTCGTTCCGCCATCGCGAAGATCTTCTCTCATTTCCGAGTGTCATCTCTCTAAGCTTAAACTCTTCTCTCCCCACATGTTCTGGCCGGGTACCCAGCCGAAACCCCGAAAAGCTCATCGCTGACAACGCACCGCATACTTCAGTGCGACACATGCCGCGCAAGGAAGATCAGGTACGTGGAACCAAGACAAGCCGGCCAAGCAACCCAGGCCCAGACCGAACCAGTCTCTCGGGACAGCATCAAGATTAACGAGACCTCACTGCACAGATGCAATGGCAACACGCCATGCGCATCCTGCTCTGCGTCGCATCAGGAATGCACCTATGGGTCCGAAGCTAATTCGTAAGTTAAGGAGTCCGGCCCTCAAAAGAACCACACTCGTCCGTCTCCTCACGCCTCCCGGAGCCGTGATCCCCGGCGCAAAACACCGACTTCCGCAAGCTCGGGGGCGCGAGGAGAGTAGGAGGAAAACTTGCTTTCTTGCTGTGAGTCTAAGTTCTGACCATCACGTCATTAGGCGCGGGAAGAGCGACCTCATCCTTGAGGGTGTACTCCGGGTGGAGAAG